TTTCCTCCACCTTCTCCCTCCTTTCCCCCCTCTCTCTTTCTCTCTCTACTCTCCCAATCCCGACAACGATAAATTCGCTGGAAAAACCTCGCCGGTGGAACCGTTCACGGTTGAATATCCACGCCCATACGTTTTACGCGTGTCAAATGGGACTTGACTTTTATTTATCCGACGGTCGTCACTATTTTATACAACTCTCGTTGCAATCAATGTTCGTTACAGCCGACAGTTCGTGTCCTCGGGAACAGAGTCGAGCAGCGTCGGAGCAAATACGCTCGAATTGAAAAAGCATATCGGTTAATATTTCCCGAAACGGCCGGATTGATCGATATATATGTATTTTACAGAACACTGACAGTTCTTTATTACCATTAGCCTCGCGTCGGTTATCGTTACGCTCGCTCGTTAATAATAATACATCGTAAAATAATTGTGCCATTCTGCGACTCTTTTCAGGGATAAATGTTCGTAGTTTTCAATCATCGCAGGTTGATACAAAAACTGCAACGCCAATATAAACATTAAAAGTACAAGTACTAACGTCGAAGGAAAAAAATTAAAATTGTTCTTATTCCGAAGGATCTAAAATAACAGAAAAAAATGTTAAGTTTCATTTCTTATAAGCGATATTAAAATGTATTTAATTGTTTCGTTTTTTTTTTTTTATAATAAAGAAACATTGAAAAGATTTTACTTACTTAAGACTATTAATTTTACTAAACTAAAAACTTGTGAAAGAGGGCCTTAAATAATTTTCAAACACCAAACTGATTCACGACACACAGTAGTCGACACATGTAGTTTTTTTTAATTTGCAAACGTCGTCTTTTATTTGGAGATTGGCAAACGCATGTTGAGAAAAAAGAGAAGCTTCGATATATCGAGAACACGGTATCGGTTGCCTCCGGCAAAAATACACCGTGACACTTCGCGAATGTCATAATGTTTAAATGGGTTTTGTTCGTAGCGCGCGAACATGAATGGGATTCGTCTGCTTATCGACTGACCTCTACTACTGCGAAATACAAACTATCTCTGAAGATACTTCGGTGACGTAAATTACTTTTCGACGAGACGACGTCGTTCGTTTACTCGTCGCTGTATCACACCCGCGATACTGATTAACATTTAAATAACGAGATTGTTCAGCTTTATAATTAAAATCCAATCAACTGCAGGGATTCGTACGAGACGTTTGATCGTCGGATCTCGACGTTTCGGAATTTATCATTTTGCGAAATTACGCTTTTCCAGGTGGTAGCTGCGGCATTTTATTTCGACAAAATAATTAGTTGTTTATTATTGTATTAATGATTTTCAAAATGGTTAATATAATTATTATATTGTACAAAATAATTATAACATTTTCGACAAAATCATTAATACATTATCGGTAATTATTGTAAATCAAGTTTCCGGTGAAAGCTCGAGCTAACTCGCACATAAGCTAATCACGAATGTTCCTCGGAAAAACAGATTTAAAAGCATAAGCCAGAGCCAGAGTAAACCAAGTTGCCCGTCTTTCAACGCTGACTTGGTATTAAACTTGATTTAACTGAATTAAGATCGTTACAAAAGTGGTGTAACGAAATTATCGACCGATGAAATCAATGTCGGAGATAAACGGATAGGTAAACGTTGGTCCTCCAAAAGAATTTAAACGGCGCACGCCGAACGAACCTATCCCTCGGCGAATTTCCATTCGAACTGAACAATCCCACTTCCGAAATTTAATGAACTTGGCAAATACCTGAGAGCTTCAAGGACGAAACCATTGGATCCATAACACGGTTCGTCAAGGGTAGATTAAATTTAACGAGCGACGCATTTGCAATACGAAAGCAGCGATTCGAACGATTCGAGAGGGTACTAAAAAATCGATTTAACGAGCTTATCTCGGTTCTATCCCGAATTCCGCGGGAAAACGATGGATTCGGACAACCGTTACAGTCGGACAAAGTTAAATACAAATTTCGATCGATCAATTTCCGCTGGTCTACCGGTATTTAAAGATTTTTTTTTTTTTTTAATATTTTCCTCTCTTTTCGATATCAATACGGATCCGCAGGAAAATCCGCCGCCACTTTCGAAAAGACGCTTAAATGTAAAACGATCGCTGCGTTTTATCTCTCCAAGCAATTTCCTACGCGAGATAAAAAAAAAAAAAAGGATCTCGCCGCGAAAGGTGAAAGTTCAACGTTCATAAACACGAAAAAACCATTCTCGCGACACGAACGCCACTCGTTCGAACCTAATGCAGCATTCGCGACATCGTTCGTCATCTTTCCTCGACGGCGTGCAAAAAAGAGCAGGATCACTCTGGTCGATCGTTACCACCGTTTCATTACTCTTTCTAATGTCACGTTGATCATCGTGCGATTGATTCGTCCAAGATTGGCACGACACGATCGGGCGAATCGTAGGTAAGTGTCACGACCAAAATTATCTGTCTTTTCTGGAAAAACACTCCACGATAACACTCTGCGCAAGAAGCCGAAGAATCAATAAAGTCACTTCAGTTGAAAAGACATTCTTGAAAGAACTCTTTCTTTGTATAGGAAAGCTGGAGAGAAACATTTGTCTGTGGCTATCACAGGTGAATTCTACACGTAGTTCGATCGTAAAAAACCGCGAAATTGACTTCGACCTTGAATTTCAAAGTCAAAATTTAAATTTTTTGTTTTTGCATTGTATTCTATTCATCACGATGATAAAACTATCCCAAGGAACCATAGATTGCGACCTAATAGTTCTCTTGAGAAATGGCAAAAATGTTTCTTGATCATTTAACATTGCGAACATCGCGTGCTAACAGCGACTTTATAGTTCCGGATTAGGTTTCACCAACATTTGATTTATTACAGTTGCAGTATCAGTGTGAGTCTGAATAATCGACTGTTAACATTATGAACAAGAATCATAAAACTAACTGTTAACATTATTCGAAATATAAATTTACATTACATTGACGCGTCCAGAATCATAAAGTCGTTGTTAAAACCCATGCTTCCAGAATCATAAAGTCGTTGTTAGAACGCACGCGTCCGCAATGTTAAGTGATTGAGAAACATTTTTGCCATATTTCAAAAGAACTATTAGGTTGCGACCCATGGTTCCTTGGAAAATTTTTACCTTCGTGATGAGTAGAACGGCAAAAAATGCAAGAAAGGAAGAAAAAATTGTTGACCTTGAAATTTAAGGTAAATTTTGCGGCAGGTCCTTTACATGTATTTCCATCAAACCGAAGATGTAGAATTCACTTATGATATGATAGCCACGGACAAACTTTTCCTTCCCTTGCCGAATCTCTCAGTATTTTAATATTCAGTATTACGCGTTTAATATTTCGCGGACGAGCGTCGATCGCTACAATTCAATCAATTGCGCTTTTCTTTATTCAAAAACACGTTTCCTGACGTTTTTAATACGATTACTGTTCAGTGTTGGTATTTATTCAGTATCTCTTTTTTTTAGTGTAATTTCCTTCTACCACCGTGACAGTGATAAACAGATTCGAAGAATCACGGCGAACTCGCCGACCGAGTTTCAAAGTGGGGGAAAATTAATCATTTGCGTCGAAACGATTAGACGTTTGAACGATCAAACCGCGACAGAGTTGTCTTGGCGACAAAGTAATCCGCCGTGAAAGTTCTCTCTCATCGAAACGAACGTCTTCCAGAGCGCCGTGTCTGAAACGGATGAACGTTCGGCGATTCCGAGTCTTCAAACACGGCATATTTCCGTTCGTTCATGCCGTCTCCACGTAAAATTAGTCCGGTTGGAATAGGTAAGTTTTCAATGAACGTGATGGTTTTGGCGAATCACAGTGACGTCAACTGTGACGACGAATCAAAGATAGATTCAATAGCACGATTGAATCCCGCAATGTATATATATATATATGTACATTCAGAAGTTGTTTGTTAAAAGTTTCCATGCTTGGTTATTTATGGCTACTCGCGGATTCTAATTAAGGTTTAAAGGATTCGGCGACTCCTAGGAATATCACGAGATACGTTTCTGTGGTGGATACGTTGAATGCCATGCTAATTTTACATGACTGGCCCAAGAAGCCAACATGTTATTGTACTGTTATTGTACAATAGGTATATTGAAATATTATCTACAACAAATAAGTTGAGATGTATAACCGTGTTTAAAGGATTCATTTTAATTTCATTTGGGGCTTTACTTCACGGCGCTGAAACGCGTTTCTTCGATTTTCTTACTTCTTCTTGCGATATATTTTATTAAAGCACTGCAAACAATCGAAAGGTAAATCAATACGGTCTTCACAATGTGACTTGTTTTTTTGGTACAATTTTTTGCTCCTGTTCTACCTAATTGTCTTGAATTCTTTTATTTTTATTTTTCGGTACATAGTGAAATCGTCGGTTGCCTGTTCTTCACGTGTTGTAAGCCTGTAGAGAAAACACATGCCAGGAAATGAAAAGAATGGCAGAAAAGCCAGAATCCGGCGACGATTTTGTAGAAGGCGGTGTGAAAAGAATTATCGCAATATTATATGTTCTATGCTGTTCTATGCTTATTATATGTTAATACATTAATTTCTTCACGTAATTGTAGTAACGGAGCTAATAATGAAAAATTTAGAATCATTAAGATTTACTTCAACGTGCTTAATATCAAACGACACACGCGAAACGAATTCGACGAAAATACAGGAGTCACGCCGATCGATTATTTCCTTCGAGTTTCGCCTCTTCTGTTAATCTCTATTTTTATTGAATTCCAAGATGAACATAGGATATTAATTCCCCTGTAACTTCGGGAAATTAAAAAGGAAAGGTGGCGTGCAGAGTTTTCGTTCTCGACGATGGCGAGAAAATCGATCGATCGAGCAGTTTCGTCGTTCGTTCGTCTCGAGCGGCTCGAGAAGAGGCTGAGAAGAGGCTGGATGACCGGGCCGTGAAGAAAGAGCAGAGTACGCCGGAAGGACGTAAGCCTTCCAAAGAGAACAGCAATTTCTATTGACTCACCAGATGTTGAGAAATTTTTCCCGCACCTTCCGCTTCATGCTGTCGCTCTTCCGACGATACTGCAACCTGCGACAGGAATCCGCGTACAGCGGCTCTGGCAGCTGTTTGTAGAAACCTGAAAGGTGACAGCGCTTTGGAGATTGAAACCGGAAATCGTTCGACTGAGCTTCGAGCGCGGCGAACCGCATTTCCGATCGATCGCCACGCCGTTTCATTGCCGCGCGATGCTCGACCACCCGACTAATTATCTCTCGATCCATTGCGATGGATCTCGTCGTTCGGCGACCCAGTCGGTAAAAAAGACGCGAATTCGCGGGAAAACGGAGGGAAAATTGCGGATCGATTCGACAAGAGTCCGCAACGTCGTGAAACTTGGCAACAGAAGCTGCTTCCGCAACGAGCTGAGAACTTGAAAGCTTCTGAAAGCGCGTAACATGTCGATCCTTTTATCGCGGGTTGAATTAAGAATTTGAAAGCCACTGGTGTTGCGATGAATCGCGTCGATCTTGACGCGACGTGTTGGAGCCACCCCGTAATTTATACGCTTCTCTTTCGTACATTGAACGAAAATAAATATTCCTCGTTGATAATTCTCTTAGTTCTTTACGAAGAAGAACGTGTACTAAACGAAATCTCGTAGATATTTATATGTTAAATGAAAAGAAAAATTACCCTTCGACAATTCTTTTATTTTTTTGCACAAAGAAGAACGTATATTAAATAAAAATCTGTATGTATTCGTATGTTAAATACGTTTTGTATGTTTTTTTTTTTTTTATGTTTCGTATGATATTTATATGTTAAATGAAAACAAAAATTATTCATTGATAATTCCCTTATTGTTTATAAAGAAGAACGTATCTTAAATAAAATTTTCGTATGTATTCGTATATTAAATGGAAGAAAAAATTATCCCCTATTTTTTACAAAGAAGAATGTGTACTAAATGAAATTTTGTATATATTCGTATATTAAATATATTTTGTATATTAAATGGAAGAAAAAATTATGCCCTATTTTTTACAAAGAAGAATGTGTACTAAATGAAATTTTGTATATATTTGTATATTAAATGAAAAGAAAAATCATCCACGATAATTCTCCTCCTTTTTGCAAAAAAAGAACGTATATTAACTGAAATTTCGTATATATTCATATATTAAATTTCGTATATTCGTGTATTGGTGTATTAAATGAAAAGAAAAATTGATAATTCCGTCGATAATTCCCTTATTTTTTTTACGAAGAAGAACGGATTGGGAAAAAGAAAGAGAAAGAAGATGAAAACATAGACAGAGAGAGAGAGAGAGAGAGAGAGAGAGAGAGAGAGAGAGAGAGAGAGAGAGAGAATGGAAAGGAGTGGGAGAGAAGGGAAAGTTTTGGGGTCAAGCTCGTTGGTTGCCTGGTCATAGGGAAACCTTGTATCTATATGTGCGTTTGGCTAGGAATCGAAGATAGGAATAGCTGCGACGGTTCCTTGCACGGGCAAATATTTATTCAGCGGTAGACGTACTCGACCAATGTGCTGTTTATTCGCGCGTATATCCATCGTCCCTGGCGGATCGGCGGCGTTAGAGCGATTTTTCGATTTGCCGCAAGTGGCCGGAAATTCTCCTAAACGATCACCTTTAACAGTATCCGTTTCGCCAAGGAAAATCCGCTAATAACGACCGACGGCAATTGCAGCTGCGAAAAAAGAATCGCTCGTAAAATTCAACGACTCCTACGCGTGGAAACGAGTTTCCTTATTTCCTTTTTCTCTTTTGTTTCTTCTTCCAACGTCTTTTTCCTTCCAACTATAAGATGTGCTAAAAAAAAGTGGATGATATTCATAAAGTGCGATGTTTTTTTAACGCGAACAGAAATGGTAAAAAAAAAAGTTGGTCTGCAATTTAATTTCGCGTTGAAAAAAAAAGGAATAGCTTTACAAAACATTCTTTCCACCTCGCATTTTTCATTCTTTTTTTTTTTTTCTGTCTCACTCCGAGGCAAATGAACGAATTAATTGAAATTCTCTCGTCATTCGATCCATTCGAAAGCAAACAACAAATATCGTTTATTTTCGCTTATTTTTCGCTGCTTGCACGTCGAGCTTCAACTTGGCTTCTATCGAAGACTAGTCGAGTCGAAACGAACCTTTGCCTTCTTATTTTTCAAAAGGCCGAGGGGAAACAGAGAGAGAGAGAGAGAGAGAAATACACAGTGGATGTCGCGTTTGTCATTGTGCGTTTCGACGCGAGCGGAGAGATGAGGTCGAAACGAAAGAGCTTCGAAACGAATCGACTCCCCGCTGTCCACGCCGACCCGGTACATTATTTCCCAGCGTGTGCACGGCTCTTTGTGCCAAATGTACAATTTTGCGCGCGGCTACGATGTTTGCGCGGCGCGGCTAGATTGAATTATACGCGAAAGAGAAAGAGAGCGATTCGTTATTGTTGTTGTTGCTGCTGCTGCTGCTGCTCCGTGATATTCGATTTCAATTTCTGATCAATCTCGTACCGACTTGAAAGCAGCGAACAATGGTCGATTGAAAAAAAAGAGAAAAGAGAAAAGATTGTGGACAATAAAACTAAAAATAAACGAATACGGTAGAAGCGTAGAAAGCTCGGCAGTTTTTGAAAATACGCTTTCGAAAGCTTGGCGTTTTGAGAAGATTATTGCTTTTTTTCTCCTGCCTTGTAGTCTCTCTTTAATCCTTATAGTTTCTCAAAATCTTCCTATTTCCGACTCTATAAGTCGCTCGGGTGGAAGCATGCACGTCCGTTCGAATTTAAAGAAAGATATTCGTAACAATTTAGATCGAATTTCGTCGCGCGACGAATAAATAACGATTCGAGTAGCCGAACGACGACTCAACGATCGAGAATATATCGGGAGAACGTGAACGACTCTGGTCGAATATGAAAACTTACTCAGCCAACTGAGCTGGTCGTTGTGCTCCAACTTGTTCTTGAAACTGTCGACCTGCCGCTTCAGTTCACGAAGAGCGAACGACGGCGACGCGTACAGGGCTTCTTGATGCTCGCGGAGTTGCCGTTCCAAGGCCGCCACACGTCTCTCGAGAGCCCACAGTACTTCCGCCTCGATCACCCCCGACGAGGCCGGATGCGCTCCGACGATCTTGAAAAAAGGGGAAACATACATCCTTACAGCCCCGACGCTCCAACGTTCCATCAAGTGTACATCGAGTGTATCATAATTGCACGGAACTTGTTCTTGTAATCTAGATATTGTACATCGAGTGTTTCCTTTCTTTTTTCTTTTTTTTTTACCTCTCTCCCTCTCGCGAGAAGACGAATGGGGATTAAATTTGATCGGTCTTTGCGCTCATTCAATATGTAGATTGGATTTCTAACATTTTATTCCACTTGAGAGAGTTTCACGTGATTACGAGTTATTCTTCGATTTGCAGTGCTTTGCCTTGATCGACGTTGATTATAAAAGGAATGTTACTGAGAAAGAGAGAGAGAGAGAGGGGGGGGGGGAAGCAATATAATAAACGTACTTTTCGATACGAAGGAGAGGAACACTCGTCGATGAGACAATCTACGGGAAATCTCACTCAAATTGAAAGGCTCCGATTGGAAAGCAACGGACTCTCAAACTGTTCTATCGCTTCTTCGGCGCGAATTTCGAGACGTTCGGGTACAATGAGACCCGAGAGAGAAAGAGAGAAAGAAAGAGAGAGAGAGAGAGAGAGAAAGATCTGAAAGGATTGAAATTGAGATGCTCCAGCAAAATTAAATTCCGAACTTACTTCTCGTCTTCTTTCGAGCAAACTATCAGCGCGAAACGCGATCCTCGGTCAGCGAAATTATATCGGTTAATCTTCGCGGAGTGTCACTGTTAATTAAAATTCACCGTTCTGGTAAACGAACGAGCCGAATGAAATTACGATAAAGAGAGAGGAGCTTCTCTTCAAAAGCGTGGCGGCTCGTCGCGATTGTGCGACGAAGTTTTTCAATTCGATTCCAAATGACACTCGTCGTCGATGTTAAAAGAAAGGTTCCCCGGGGGAAGGAGAAACGGTAAATTACATAATTTAACGAGAAACGCTGATCCGGTGGGAGTCGGAGCTAGTGGAAACGGCACGAGACAGCTGCGTCAGATAGCTGGATCGTTACCTGAAGAACATAGGGAGAGTCGGGTGTGTTCGCCGGCAGATTAGTCGAAATGTTCAACAGCTTGTCCTCCTTGCAAAGCTTCACGATGTCCAGAGGGCCAGCCTCTGCTGCATTTCTAAAGAGTTCTGCAACAGAAATCGCATCGTCTCGTTGATCGTACGTATTATAATACTAGAAACAGAACGGCCACGTTACGTGGCGGCAATAAAAGTTTCATCGTCCTGGAACGTCAATATTTAACTTATCCTTGAACGAAATTCTACAAAGATAAAACTTTTGAATTATTTTTTTGATAAATTGAAAATTTGCATCGTTACCAGAAACTTTTAGCCACGTTACGTTACGCGGCGGCAGTAAACGTTTTATTGTCTTGGAACGTCAATATTTGATTTATCGTCGAACGAAATTCCGCGAAGATAAAGTTTTCGAGTTACTTTTTTCATAGATGAAAATTTGCAACTTTCCGATTGCAACTTTAATGACGCGTTGATATTGTTTATTAAAGCGGGACACGAGTGTAAGCGTGTGCTCGAGGATCGTTCCTGGATTGTACGTGGAAAATACGTTATTCATATAATGGATATTTAAATAATGGATTCAACGAGTATAATACAACTATCGTGCTCGCTGATCTGGTGCAAGTTGAAGGAAAAAAATGAAATTAAAAATAAAAGATCAAAGGATAATGGATGAAAACCTGGATTAAAATTTGAGGCAGCCAATTAATATTGAAATCTCGGTGAAAGTTTCGATTAAGGAACATAATTCCAGTCGCAGCGTAGACGTAAAGTTTCTATCTCAAAGATGAGTACTTGAGGATGAGATGTTTGAGATAGCGGGAGCTTTAACGATTAGATCGTTAAATCTCCTCGGTGTCAGGCGTCTGCTTCGCGATACACGTGAGTTTGCTGCTCGCAGAGGAACAAACACGCGTGGCGTTAAAAATCGACGGGAAGGAGTGGGAGGGGGACACCGTACGGAGAGCCGGCCGTGAATTCATTATTCAAATGGCACGGCTCGAAGCCGTTGTATCCTTTCGGTGATATCGAGCGTAACGACATTTTATAAGTGCATGTTTTATTCATCGTCGAAACGTTGCCGAGCAGTTGCGCGTAACTTGACCTAACGCGCGCATTATGTCGACGCAATTACGGCCGCGATGCCGGAACACGAGCACTGTCACGCGGCCCGTTCGTTTTCCATCCACTTTCGCCGAAATTATTCAACGCAAAGGGACGTGGCTCGCACCACAAAGAGAACGAACGAACGAACGAACGAATGCACGTACGTACGTGCAACAACGCGTCGCAAATTTGTCTTGGATCGCGGATGATTTACCGAGACGTTTTCTGTCTGTGGCCATCCCTCTGTTTCCGAGCTGGTCGAGAGCACGCAGAGAAATATGGAGATGTCTGAGGAATGAAGAGGGCGAGCGAGCTTGGGGATAAAGCCTCTTCTCCTCTCTCTCTCTTTCTCTGCATGAAAATTAAGTTGCTACTTCCTTTCGTCTTGAAAGTACACCGAGACGGAGGGAAAGATAGAGCTACGCAGCTAGCTGAAATCATATTCATATAAAGAAAAGCTTGCTGTGAACGCCTGTTTGAATGCCTTCGAGGATCGTTGTACGTACCAACATCGATATTCAACAGAGAATTAAACGCTCATTAACGTTCGCGGCATCCTTCCGCCGCTCCGCTCCATTGGAAGCTGAAATCCTTCCCGATATTCCCGATTCCACGAACTCGACCGAGCGTGCAATCACCGTCCCTACCAACGGACCCGCAAACCTCCCGAGATCTAACCACCAAGAGAGATTAATACCGATTTGGTTAACCGGTTCCCGCCTCGTGTCGAGCCTCGCGCAACTTGCACAAGAGCAGCGATTCAGTCGAATTCCGTAGATCGAGCGTCGGAAGAACCGTCTGCGGTGCCTAGATCCCTGGCCAATTCCAATGGGAAATGAAATTACCATTCAACAACGTCTTGAACGGCACTTGGGGGCGTCTCACAGCAGACACGCCGCTTTCGAGAGCGCGAACGAGCATAGACTAGTCGACGACGTCGACGAACGCGAGTGTCGGCGACTGAGAAATATCCTCGGCTTCGTGTATTAGAGAGGATTAACACGTTCGCCAATGAGTAATGGACAGCGCGCGAGAACGCGGCGGCCTCCGTGACGATTAATCATCGGTTTCGTAGGTGTGCGCGCTCTAAACGCGGATCGAAACCGTCCAACGAACCGATACGTTTGCGGTGCGTTTCGTTCCCGAGCTGCCGAAACGACAAGCAACGTATTATCGAATATCGCGGAATAATCGAATAATCGACTTGTCGCATTTAACTGTCTTACAATTAGTGCCACGCAGCGCGGTCGCGCTGTTCAAATTTCGCGTCGAGTGCCACGGTACACAATTATAGTGTGTCATATCGAAGCTTCCTTTCCTGATTACTTTCTTTTCAATTAAACCTGGCCCGAATCTAACTTTTTTCTCAATTAAATCTAAGTTGCACGAACATAAACCTAAACCTAACCTAAATCTGACTTAAACTTAACCTAAATCTAAAAGCTGCTTAAATAGGTTTCTACTTTATCTACGTTTATTTACAGATATGCTTGTGCATCAAGGAAACAATAGTGTGTCGTCAGTCATATCGAAGCTCCCTCTCCTAATTACTTTCTTTTCAATTAAACCTTTTCATCTAAATCTAAATGAACTTAAACCTAGCCTAACCTAAATCAAAGTTAAACTTAATCTAACTTTAAAAACTGCATAAATAGGTTTCTATTTTATCTACTTTTATTCTACAGATACTTCTGGATAATTGCATCAAGGAAACGCTATCGCATTGTTCAGATTCGTGTCGAAGAGTGCAAATTACAAACCCGTAGTCAGTTATGTTGAAGCTTGCTCTCCTAATTACTTTCTTTTCAATTAAACCCAAACTACGTGAACCTGAAATAAATAATAGGCAGTTTTTACTCTATCTATAGGCTGGTCAGTGAAAGACGGAATGATATAAAACAAAAACAACTTTTGCAAACACACGTTTTTAAAATTTTTTACTATTTTATTTGGATTTATATATAATTAATGGATGTTTTTCAGTATTATGTGTGAAAAACAAGAAAAGAAAATTATGACTTTTTCAAACCCTTCAGTTTTTCAGTGGCCACCCTGTACTTTTATTTACAGATATTTCTATATAGTTACACCAAGGCAGCGCCATCACGCGGTTTTTTAAATAGCCTTTGGCACTAAAATAGTGTTTCCACCGCATCGCAAGACGCGTACCCGACAACAAGCTTCGGTGCTTTGGGCAATTCAAGCAAGTGTATATTTTCTTGCGTGAAAAACACAAAATTCACGTACGGCTTGTGTATTTTGCCGCGTGACGCTAAATTGCTGCGGGTGGTAATGAATATTTCTTGTTCCGACATATACGACGCCCGTATCGAGCCCCGACGTTCGTGGGAACGAGCTCGTGTGCAGCTCGAGCATCGAGAAACGAGTAGCGTGTAAAATGTCGAACTGAAAGTTGAGTTATCGGTTATTATGGCTCGCGATCGAAGAGATGGATCGATACGTTTTGTCAGCGTAATTTTGCCAAGTCCGACAAGACTGGAAATATATTTTAACACTGGAACAACCTTTGTCAGGTTAATATCGAAATATCAATACCAAGTTACTGTTCATTAATTATTATCAAATTACTGTTACTCGTCGGTGTCAAAATAGTCCACGTGTAAGTACAACAATCAAAATAAATCGATCTGTGCAATTACATTTCTAAACAGAGATCAATTGCTCCGGCAATTTCAAGAAAAGAAGACCCGAAGTCCGAGATATGTTGAGATAAAAGCGTTCAGCTTTTCTCAAAACTACACGTTGCTGCTCTATGGATCGAATGTAGAAACTTTGTTGCGTAAAGCGAAATTCACGTGCAGCTTGTGTATTTTGTGGCGACAAGGATTCCTGCCGTTTCAATGCTGTTACGCAATTCTACCGCACTTCGTAGAAATAAACTGGAATTGCAATACCGTGTAAAATGCTAATCTGAAGTGGAAGATGAAAAGTCATCGAGTCATAACATCTGAGAATATTTCACAGGCTTACGAACACTTACGGGGGTGTTGTATTATTCTCGATAGAAAAATTCTGCTCGACAACCACAAAGTGGCGCGAGTCAGGCGAATTTTTGAATGCCCGCGATTTGGACGAGAAATCGGAGAAACCGCAGAGCGAAAAAAGCTGCAAAGTGGATGGCGTTCGACGTTAAAGTGTCTAATGCCTCGCTATTGCAAAGAAGGTGAAAAGCAAGGAATCGTGTCGGCTTTCAGACCGCGCTCGGAAAAAAGAAAGAAAGCGCTAATGGCGTCTGGCGGTTGCTTAAAAACCAGGAAGAGGGGTAAAAGTTTCCACGTCGTTCTAGTTATCGATTCGACAAAACGCGAGCTTAGTCCCCCTCCTCGTGTTTCGCGGAAGATTCATGATTCCTCGTGAAAAATGAGCTTCCCAGCCAATCTCGTGTAAGGATCATTTATAAAATTCAGCTGTTGCACTCTCTCTTTTTCTATACAAACATCCGACGTATTTGCTTCACGTACGTGAAGAGGAACGCGGGAGGGGGGAAGAAAAAAAAAAAACCACACACCAACTACCAATTTTAATTAAAATTGCCTCGCGAGAGTTTCGCGCGAAGCACGTTCAAATGACGTAACGAAATGTTGCATAAAACAGATGTACGTCTTCGCATCGGGAAATTTCGTCCCCGTGATGCCACGCGGCACGTGTTGCACATTAATTTCAGTCTGACTGAAAATTCATACGGAGGCACAGACAACGAAAATATGTTCGATCATCCATCATGGTATCCGTGGTTTCGTAATCTCGCAGGGAATCTTGGCGAAACGCGCGTTGAATTCAATTTAATCGCCGTTCAAACGAGAGGGATTAACTGAATATTTTATAATTTTACGATAGACAAGTTTACAGGGAAAACAGGCAACTTCGCTTTATTCGTATTTGCTAATCGTTTTAAAGTACAAGTTGCTCGGGGCAAAGCAAGATTTATCGCCCCGAGGAATTTCTGCACAAGGTGGTTGCACAGAAGCTTGCATGAGTTA